GCTTCTTTGCCTCTTCCTTCACTCTTACAGGTGAAAAGTATATCTTGCCATCAGGTGTAACATTCCATGGGCTTCTTTTGAGGTCTTTCTGAAGGTATCTCCTCTAGGTAACATTTGCACCAGTCCAGTCACCAGTTTAGTGTGGGTTTCTAGCTAAACTGTGTGTGGAGGGAGTTATCGTGTCAGAAGTTAACATTTTCTTTACCTGTATTTCTGATAGATACCTCCACATACATTTCCACCCATCCTCCCCACTTCTGGTGTACCTTTATTTTACTTGCCTCATCAAAGAATGAAGCAAATTAGGTGGGAGTTGCCTCAAGCCTAGTGGCATGCAAATCCCTATGACAAATGTGCAAGGAAGATTGCTAAACTCTGTATGGATGGAATTATCTATTGGAAATACATTTTCAGGTAAGGAATATGTTAATTTTCAGCATGGTATGGTTTTAATTAGAAGTGCTACTGTAATGTAGTAGTTCAGCTTACTTTATTAACTGATATTCCACTGTAAGATGGCTCAGCAGAGTTTGGCTTTTCACTAAAAATGTTACTCTAAGTTGTAATGTAGTAACTAGGATCTCTGCTTTCTGGTGTAATGAAAACTTTTAAATATGAACATTTCTGTAGTTATTGCTGTTTATGAATGTTCTTACAAATAGTATTCAAGTGTACAGTTTTAACTAGTTATTCTTTTGTAATTAGAAATCTGGCATGTGGTTTTAAATAAGAATGTAAGGATAAATATTAACCAGAAACATTACTGACAGAAGTAGTTTTCACTTTTAGTTATGAATGTTTATATACACACAGTTAAGTATATAATTTAACAATAATTTTTTTTAAATGTCATTAAATACCAATGTATCCATGCACCCTTTGAAAAGCTGTTCTAATCAGAACAGTCTTTAAATAGTTCATTTCATTTTGAATAACTCTTTAAATTAATGAAAAAATAATTTAAGTAAATTATCAGATAGTTACTTTAATTTTGAATAGAAATGTCATTTTAACAGTTGTCACGTTGTTTTAAGTAGGTTTAGGTTCATTGTTAGTAGTTCTTCTTATAGATGGGATTACACATTTTACTTTTTATTGAGTAAAAATGTTACTATTATTATTTTATTACATCATAATCTTAAATATTCGATAATAATAACTTTTCGAAAAGGCTTTCATGTGCTATTTTGTTGTCTTCAGGTTGGACTGTTAACATTTAAATTACCTATATGCCAAGAAAATTTGTTAGGTTGGAAAATGTTGATGCAAGTCAGTTTAGTGATAAAAAATATATATTTTTCTAAAAAGGTGAATAACTGAAATTATGCTGGAACAGTCATTTTGGAAAAATTAATGTTGTTTGCTTTGATCAAAAATTAATATCAATTACAAAACTGAAACTGACCTCCTAAGGGTCAGATGTCATTAGGTGAAAAAATAAAGGGCAAAGCTAAAGTTTTGTGGAAAGTTACATTCACATCTAAAGCACTTGATTTCTTTTAAAGTCTTAATTTTGAATAACTTTTTAACTGAAAATGATTTAGCTAGAAAAAAAAAAGGAAGGCAGAGTTGAGAAACTAAAAGATTAAAATTGGTCTAAGAACTTAGCTCACATAGGTAACATTATACTGGGAAAAAAGTGTGATAAATTTAAGTAATGAAGTTTTTGTGTGTGGGTAGCTGTATTAGCTTATAAGAAGTTCCAAACTTAGCTATTACTGTAACAAAACTACTGTCAGTTGATAAATCAAACATTTCCTTTGTGTGGACTTTGTCAGTGATGTACAACAAATTTGTACTCTTGCGACATTGTGACCCAACCTGCAGTCATTCCTTATGGATTTTTAAAGTTCATATGCCATTTCAATGACAAGTTGTCCAGTTGAATAATGAACTTCATACAATACAAATGGTGTTGGCAATGTTTGACAAATATTACAACTATAATCAGTTATTTGTTCTTGTTATTTTGCAGTATTTGTATTCAGAATCTGTTAGCATCTTCAGTTACCTGTCTTACTCTGTCGCTACACATGTGACAATACTGATCTAATTTCACTTTTGCTTAAATCAGTATCCAGCTGACTTAGACAATCTTTTCTTGGGTATGATAACCAGGAGCTACTATTAAAACACACTTCAATGACTGAAATGCATAGTCACAGTTTTCATTCCACCTAAAGTGCATCTTGGCTTTTTAGTCAGATCAGATAACAGTGCAGCAGTCTTGGAGAATTTGGTCACAAGTCGTGCATGATATGATGTAAGATATAGGACTGTGGATCTCTTATTTAGTCATGGGTTGGGCCAATATTTGATCTCTGTGATCTTTGTAGGATCCTTCATGACATTGTCCCTTCTTACAATGTGTCATAGGAATTCCACTTGTTATTCATAGGTGAACATTTGTTTCAATTTCAAATCTGCTTTTCTTTATCACTGAAGTGTGATGTTCAGGTCTTCTACAGTGGTCTGGAATGTGAACAAACACCAAGAAGTTGTCAACATAGATCAGGCATCTATTCCATTGCAGTCCTTGCAGTGTAAGCCTCATTAACTGCTCAACAGTGATATTTGCATTATATATTCTGAATGGCATGAGCAGAATTTATACAAACCATTTCAAGGGCTGAAAACAATTTTGGGCATCCTTTCTTTATCTTGACTTGCAAGTACTTGGAAGCAACTGGGTGTCTTCCTGTGTATCCAGACATTTATTTGTTTGTGGGAGTGGAACATCATCAGTATGGTTCACCATGTTTACCCATTTAAAATCACTGAATCTTACCTTCCTTTTTGATAATTACTACAGGAAATGATTAAGCACTTTCTGAAGTCTATGGTTCCATCATTTAATATCTGTTATATCTCAACACCAGATATATCTTTAGTGCTCCAAGTCTTGTGTAGCAGCTGTTTTATCAAAGGCAGGTCATCTTTATCTGTGTAGTAGCAGTTTAATGACCCAAATAGCCATCTGGTCTCCTTAAGTTCCTTTTGTTGTGTTGAATCCAGATTGCTCACACAGTCATCAATAAGATATCTTGGATGTTTTGACAACTGAGCATTTGTTTTTGGATAAAGTTGACAAAAACAACCATAGCTAATTCTGGCTACTTTTGCTTCATTCCCCTATGTTGATGACAATTCCTGTGGAAAGTTGAATAGCCAAGTATCTGGAATTAAAGACCAGAATGGAATTGTGTCACTACCTAGACATATATAGCTGATTGAGAAGATGCAGCCTGCTTTCTGGAAAAGAAACCTGTATTTCATGTGTTGGTTCCATCACTTCTTTAGGTGTTGATAACATATTAGACTAATTTCATTGTATACCAATGCACACTACTTGTGCACTTGGAAGTACTGTGAATCACTCCTTAACATGCACTTGTGCAGTCCACTGTTCTTAGGCCCAGTATGGTTGGTATTGCATAATTTTTCAACAATAATAAAGATTTACCTTTGCACAGGCTAAACTTGCTGTTATTTTTCACGGTAGGCCTATCTCCAAGAGCCCAATGCTTGAATCTCTGTTCATGTGTAGTTGATCATGGTTCATCAGAACAGTCTAAGGATTTGCCAAGAATGACCAATAGTCTCCACCTAACTCATATATCTTTTTTTGGCAGAGACTAAGCACTACCCAGCCTTGAATGAGCTGGGATGACCATCAAACCTTTCAACATAAGGTGACTATTGTAAGTACCTAGGTCACTGGCCAAACCAAACCTGGGATCTTTTAGTCTTCTGGAGTCAAAGTTACAAAAGCAGTATTTTACCTTCATTCCATCTGCAGCTGCTGAACATTTGAGCACAAATGAATGTTCTGCTTGTCTCATTAAAAAAGATAGAGGTAATTCCATTAATTATAATATACTTGTTCAAAGCTTCATTTGGAAAGAAGCATTGGTGACAGTTGCTGTGGCAAAACTATCGTGGAAAGCATTGGGGAATCTAGCCCACCTACTAGTATGGATTATAACTGTGTCAAGGAGCTAGCATGTGTTTATGGCTGGCTAGCCTTAGGTGAAGCATGAAGTTTTCTGAATTCAGACATCTCAAGTGGACAGTATAACCAAGGTTATGTCACCACATTTTCACTATGGGTTTCTTCTTATGTGACCTACTCAAAATTGCCACTTTGATCCTGGTCTCCACATATTTTACCCCTTTGAGGCTTAGATGTCTCTAATATCCAAGTGTTTCACTTTACAGTACCTTTACAAGATTCTGAGTTGCTAGGGTTTTCCTTAAGGTTTTTAGTCTTCTTCTCAGCTTGAGTTTAATCTGTTGCCAGTCCTTGTTTCTTTATTGTAATTCATTCCTTTAATTTGTGTATAGATGTTGTTTCATTTGTAAGTTTTCAAGCTTATTTGATAAAGAGCCATGCAATAGTAATAATTTATTTTTTATTTGAAGTGGAATTTAATTTCTCTTCAAAATAAACACAGTAACATATTCATTTGAATTTAATGAGTAAATAGATTGAACTAGGTCCATTAGAGTTTAGTGACACTTGGATATTCCCCTATTTTTATTTAAATATTTAAAATAAACACAATAAAGTAAATATTTAAATTTATAAAGTAATCAATTTGAAATAACTTCATGAGAGTTTAGTGACATTTAAATATTCCTTGTTATGTTTCTTATTGCCATAATTGTTAGCAATGTCAATTCACATGAGAATGTATCTGACAACACTATCACTATAGCTATGTCTCCTGTGACACATATAATGTGGTAGTTAAAAATTGGAAAACATCTGCTCAGTTCAACCGTCAAACTGCTGCGACATACCAATCTAGAGCTTTTGCAAAAGAATAAATTATGGTTGTGGAGAAATTGTCAGTTTATTATATGGTTTTTTGTTAGAACTTTCCATTATGAAAAACTATAAAGTTCAATGGAACGTGTTCATTACATAGTTTAAATATATTCTTTGTGTTATTATTATTTTTTATATAATATAGATATTTATTCTTTTCATGGTGTAGGGAAGGATATGAAGAGAAATGTGTCATGAACAATTATTTTGGAATTGGTTTGGATGCTAAGATTACACTGGAATTTCACAATAAGAGAGAAGAACATCCAGAAAAATGCAGGTAGAGATAGGTTTGGTAGCATTAAAAAAAATTAAATTTTAATGACATGAATCATTATTAACACAATGACCATTTTACTAAAGAGACTCTTTATTATTAGATTTTATCACAGTTAGTGAGAAAAGAATTTATGGTTTGCACAATTCATCAAAATCTTGGAAAATTTTGGAATTTTGTAAAAAAAAAATATTTATTACTGGAAACCTGGAAAATTACTGGTTTTTAGCAGGATGTCCTGAAAAAGTCTTAAAGTCTAACCTCATTGCTGTCATACTCCTTATTTTTATTGATGGCAGTTCATACCATTGTGTTTATCTCAGTTTTGATAAAAGTAATCTTTATAAAATGCAACTTGTAAAATGTGAAATATGCTGATTTGGCAACACTGACCAGTAAAAGTCTTTGAACTATGTACTACTGTCTGCAAGCAAACAGGTGTCACATAACTGTTGTCGGAATGGTGTTGTTAACATAAAAATGTGCTCAAGACTCCTTTGGCAGAAATTGAAAATCATAAAACTGTTAATAGGATGAATGTTTCAAAAGTTGAAAAATAATAATATATTTCCTAAACTTTGTTATATATATATATATATATATATATATATAGAGAGAGAGAGAGAGAGAGAGAGAGAAGGAGAGAGAAAGTTCAGAGTTCTTTTTAATTGGTTGGAAATAATTCTTCGAACGTATATGTGAAAGCAAAGAAAAACCTGTTATGATTTATCAACAGCTTTATACTTGCCATATCCAGTCTCAAAGAGGTCTTTCGCCCAATATCAGGGCTAATCAGACCGGCTGGGATACGACAGACATATATAATTCATGACATTCAATCATAAAGTTTTAAATCATCTTTTCTTCTCTAGGTTCTTAGCTTATTGTATTATCTAAAGAATTTACTGACCTACCTTTTATTTCTTTGTTAATTCATTTTCTTTATTAACACGCGAATTTCGGTGACGAAAGGACCATGTAGAAGACTAATCTATTCATTTATAAAGTATTTAGGTTATTGGCGATGAGTAAAGAACTATACATCTAAACAAATTGACTTACCTTTCATGATAATCATCTCAATCATTAAGGATTCAAAACATGTAAATCTTTCCATCAGTTATATTTTTAACTTTTACGTAATTTTTGGGTTGGGCATGGATTTTCCACACTAAAAGTATGCGTAATTTTTGCGAAACTTCAATAGCCACGCACGCAAAATTTGACTACATTATAAGCAGCGGGAATGTAATTTATATCTCAATTATCAATGATATCTCACATAGGAATTTTGTCCTCTTTTTACGTCATGGTTTTAAAGATTCACACTTTTAGATCAGGTACAGATGAACCATCTGTGGACGCAGGATCACAACATTTGGAATTTCATACCTATAGCTTGTGGTCATATATAGCTGTTCCTGTGTCTCCAGCAGGACAACCAAGAATGAGAGGAAACAAACTGAAGGTCCTTGTGGTTTATGCCACTTGTCAACATTTTATGAAAACTTTATAGACAGCGTCAAACGGTAACTCTCGACATAGAAACGAAAAACTGGATGGGTTACTCTGAGAGGACTGACCAGCGATATATAGTCACCTAAATAGAGTGATGTACCTACGTATGACCATGCCAAAAAATATCTGAAACAAAGGCGTGGTGGTCCCTGATCAGTTAAAATGCAACAAAATCATTTACTGGTAACCAAAAATAGGTAGACATAATTCACTAAAATTCAACTTCAGTCACTTTCTGAAGAAGTTTCAAATACACAGAACCAGAAGCTGCTTCTGGGCCTGCTTATACAAACTTTCAACGATTGTTTGTTTGTTTTGAATTTCGCGCAAAGCTACAGTGTAAGGCTAAAGGGAAGACAGCTAGTTATCATCATCCACCGCCAACTCTTGGGCTACTCTTTTTACCAACGAATAGTGGGATTGACCGTCACATTATAACGCTCCCACGGCTGAAAGGGCGAGCACGTTTGGTGTGACGGGGATTCAAACCCGCGACTCTCAAATTGCGAGTCGAGCGCCCTAACCACCTGGCCATGCTGGGCCAAACTATGAACGAAGTACAGTCCTTAACGCTACAGTATATAGCTCGGATGATGGGATACAGGAATTGTCAAATTGCAAAAAATACAACTATATATTGACTAGAATGTAATGTGGAAAGACCTTTTACCGCCTGCACTACAATTTGTACCTAGAATAGTCAAAGTTGACTAGAAACTTCTTTCTGCCAGATTAATATAAAATATTCTCAATAAACCCCTTGTACCAGCATAAGTTTATGGATTATATAACTGAAGCTGTGTCGCAAATGACATGACGCAAGGTAACAAATTGTCCATAAGTGACAAACAGAAGAAAATTTTGTGATTCAGTGACCACATGTTCAAGTATTTGCTTCAACCAAGCCAAGTACCACATTGGAAATAATGGTGAAAGAAGTAGAGAACTGTGACAATGTGTACATATAAAATCACTTACAATGGCAAATAGATAAAGCACAACAAAGGAAATGGGGCTACTGTCCATCAAGCTGCCACAACGGGAGCTTAGAGAAAATCAGAAGCTTGGAACAATAAATAACCAATGTTGTGGGCAAATGGCCATTGTATCTGAATATACTCAAATCAGGCTTTGGGAAAGCAAGTTCAAGGACACACCTACTAAACAATGGCTGTTGTGTTGTTGTTAAGCACAAATCTACACAACAGGCTATCTGTGCTCTACCCATCACTCGTACAAACATACCTTATGAACTATTAAGTTTCTATTTTTCAATTACCATACGAATACTAAAATAACCTGATGAAAAGACAATAACATGATATCGTTAAAAACTTTATTCTTAAGTTAACGTCATGGTACTTTTTCACGCTTTATGTTTTTTTTCTTCTTCTTTATGCCTTCTATACGATTCCAAAAAGTTTAAGTTTTAAATAATGAATGACTGTTTGCTTAGACGAAAAGCTGCACAACGTGAAAGTTGTGCCGGGATCGAGCTCTGAAATTTAGTGTTATAAGCCCTTACGTTTAATGCTGAACCACCGTAAACTGTTACGATTCCTCGCTATGTTGTACACGTATATTAGTAATATTAAAACGCGGTAGAATATCAGAAGCCTAATAGTTATTTTATTTTTTTTAGTAAACCATTAGTTATTTATACTTTTATTACAATTCTTGTTCATTTTCTGTAATATTAGGGAAGAAATAAAAAAGTAATGATTTGAACAATTTTCAAGGATCTACAGAACCAATTTTCAACAATGCTAGAGGCAAGAAAATTAAAACGTAACCCATTCCAAAGATGCCAAAAGACCGATTTCAAAAATTGCTGGGAAATATCAGATATGTATAAAGTAATATATATGCAAGGGGGAAGCGTGCGCGCGCGCGCACACACACACACACACAAACACTTACATATAAGTTAAAAGTCTTTCTGCTATTAAGGTCATGTTTCTAAATATTTACAATAATCGCTATTACTAAAAGTAGTCATTTAGAATTAAACAGACGCGTTTTTGCAAATAATCTTACATGTGGCTAAACAATAAACAAATACAGTATTACTAAAAACGTTTTGGAAGGGAACCGATTGTTGATATAAGAACTTATTGATATCTGTATTCTTTTCTTAAAGATCCATTGAAAATTGTCTTATAAACGTTTGTAATCTATCGTATGACTATATCGTAGTACTACGAATAACACCGAAGAATGAAAACTTCCCTATCAAAATACAGTTTACCTCATGAAATCATCAGTATGTCGATATTCTTTTCCTTGTGCACTAGTTACACAGCTAACCTGATTTGAAACAAGCTGTATCAAAGCAATATGTAACACCTTCCCTCTGTTGGTGTTACGACACAAACCTAGCTAGCAAAACTAGCGGTACAACATTTTTCATGCTCTCTGTCTTAACGTTTCGACGCCAGCTATTAATAATCAGCACAGAAGAACACTGCGAAAGTCGATTCTAGTAAGTTGACAAGGAGAGAATGATCACGTGACATTGTGCACGTGTATGTCTATAGATTAATGTGTCTCGCTTCTTCATTCTCAGCCTCCTCTTTTATTTCGAGGAGTTACGTTCTGCTTCAATATATGAGATAGTTCAACATAAATCATGTCAACATGAAACTAGTCAAAATCTTTTTCTTGAGGACAAGAACGCTTTGTCTTCTTTAACACTGTAAACTCCAACATAATATTTTTCTTGTGGAAAAGAACATCTTTTCGTTTGTTTTCTAACATTGTACAACATTCCAACACAATCATTTTCTGGAGATAAACATAAAAGGTTTGTAAAAAAAGTAGCTCTATAGGTGTGGAGGATAAGTTAGCAAATTGATAGAAGAGTGACTGGATGGAAGAAAGCAGAGGGTTGTTACAAATGGAGTTCAGTCAAACTGGATTAATGTCACAAGTGGAGTAATTCAGGGCTCAGTCTTAGGAC